GCGGTGGGGCGCGGGGCCGGGGCTCGGGCCTGGCAGGGAGGCCCCGGGCTGCGCCGGGCGGGCGCGGGCTGCATCCTCCCGGACGCCTGGAGGCGGGGACCCGCGCTGGGACAGCGCTGCAGCGTCCTTCCCAGCCCCAGGCCTCGGAGCGCCGAGCGAAGCCAGCCCGGGCTTGGCAGCTTCTTAACGTGTGCAGGACACACAGCGCCTGCCAGGCTGCAGGGGCACCAACTTCCCCTTAACTTTTCTCCAAGATGCAGCAGTGAGGACAGGCGCGACTGGGTCGTCCAGCCTGGGGGACGCTGGGACTGGCTTGTGGGTCTTTTGAGGTGACCAGACCTCTGAGGTGAGATATGGTGCCCTAAGCAGGACACTTCCCCATGAGCACCCTGCTCTGCCTACACTGCCGGCTTGCCTTGAGGTTTATGGCTCTCATAAACTTGTAAGTTGTTCAAGAATGTTCTCCGCTTGGTTCCCCAGGGCCATACTGGCTAGAATAATAGTAATAAAATCATTAGTGACTCTCCTTCCTTAGGTAGCCACCAGGTGCCAGGCATGTATGACCTCATTTAATCACACCGGTGTTCCACACTAACAGCAGCAAATATTTATTGACTCAAGTACTTCACACAAGCATTGACTCGTTTAATGGTTTAGCCGCAGAAGGCAGTTGATGTTATGACCCCCATGTTATAGATGAGGGAGCAGAGGCACAGGCCTGCAAACTGACTTGTCAACTGTAGAGTACGGATTTGAACTCAGGAAGTTGGGATCAGACTTTGTGTTTGTAACTGCAAAGCTGATATTATCTTGTCAGTGGAGGAACCGATGCTCAGAATTCAGTCATTTTCCAAGGGCAGCTCTGCTACCAAGTTTTGGAGCAGCTGGCATGTAGGCTGGTTGGAGAGAAAGGGGCTTGGATGCCAGGAGGACGACAGGTATCCATTGTCCCCTGGCTACAGCTGCAGCGGAACTTGGGAGACCCCATGGGAAATGTGCCTCTTCACAGAGGTCACCTTGCTGACTGGGACAGAGTTCTGTGGTCTGTGTGGAGGAGCCAATGATGCAAGCAAGGGACCTTGGTGTTCCTCTTTCTGTACTCTGTGATTGCTGCAGATCTGAGAGGGTATCCCAATGCACTGGGAGGGGTCAAGGGCATCCTTACTCTTCTTGGAACACTTGGGCATCCTTTAGAGTCTGTTCTGGCTGTGTCCAGGGTCACCCCACAGCTCCTGCTTGTGTGACTTTCATTGCCATCTACTCTTTTTTGTTTATTTATTTATTTATTTTTCCCAGACAAGTTTTTCCTGTAGCCCCAGCTGGCCTGGAACTCTCCATGTAGACCAGGCTGGCCTTGATCTCATAGAGATCCGCTTGCCTCTGCCTCCTGAGTGCTGAGATAAAAGGTATGTGCCACCAGACCTGGCCCATCCACTATTTTTAAGGGCTTTTACCTCACGACTCCTCACTTATATGTGCCGAGAAATAAGCCTGTCAGCTTAGTGCATAAGCCCACACTCCTTCCACCTCTCCATTTGGGTGGGTGTACAATGGGAGCTTATTGGTCACCCAATCCCATTTTTCATTTTACAGAAAAGAAATCTTTCAGGTGAAATACTTCCTAAAAACCAGTCTGTAGTCCAGAGTAGTTAAGAGTTGTCTTTGAAGTCAGATCACTTAGGTTTGAATCCCATCTCTGCTATGCACTATGTGAGTTTAAACTAGTTGCTCAGCTTCTCTGTGCCTCAGTCTTGGTTGTAAAATAAGGACTAGCAGCTAATGGGGAAGAGCTGAAATGATGCAGGTAATGTGCTTAGAACTATGCTTGGCATGGCATTCACGTGAGCAGGTGTCCACCTCAATCACTGGACAAGAAAGTATTTATCTTGGATCACAGCTACTGTTAGGTCATAGAATTACTATGACGAATGACCTGTGGGCTGGGTCTGGAGGTCCCTCTACTTAATGCTCCTCAACAAGAGTTCCTGGTGCTGTAGATCTAAATAAATAAGAAAATGCTGAGGCTGGAGAGATGGCTCAGCGGTTAAGAGCAGTGACTGCTCTTGCAGAAGACCCAGGTTCGATTCCCAGCACTCACATGGCGGCTATGAACCGTCCTTAACTCTTGTTCAAGAGGAATCCAACACCCTCTCTGATCTCCGAGGCATTGCACAACACAGGTGCACTCACATACATGCAGGCAGTACACTAATATACATAAAATAAAAATAATAAATTTTTTTTTGTCTTTTTTGGTTTCCCTTCTGGAAACTCACTGTTTCATTCATATATTGAAGACTAAGAAGCCCTGAAATAAAGAAACCAGAGTTTTAAAGGCATGTGCCACCATGCCTGGCATAAATAAAATAATTTTTTAAAAAAGAAAATGCATTTCTTTCAGAGATATGTGCTGCTGTAAACCAGACATCACATAGCTGTCACTTAATTTGTCACAGGAACATATTATAGGCATAGAGGTTCCTGGGCCCTAGAAATGAATGGGGTATCATTTTAGGTAGAGAAGGAGGTAGAGTACAGTGCCTTGTTTAGCTTCATGGCCTGGTCGGAGCTGGGGCTGCCTCTACATCCTGGATAAAACCATCACTCCCAGCATCTGGAGCCACTGCTGCTTCAGGAAAAGACTGAACTCTGGGACTCCATAGGGGTCTTTTAATAAGCTGTGTTCATCCTTCTCATGACATTAGCGAAAACAAAGCAGGGGTTAGACTCCTTGAATTTTATCCCTGAGGAACTTGGTGAGCTCATGCACAAGTACAAACAGCAAGATAACTTGTGGGAACAGTGCAAAAGAAAAATTTAGGGACTCTTGTTAAAAGTGTATTAAACTTTTGAGAAAGGGACTGTAGAGGCTAAAGTTAAAATGTGTGGTGGGGGGTTAGGGGGGTTGCTGTGTGTCTTCAGATCTTGTGTACATGGAGCCTACTCTGCTCAAGGGCAATGTGTGATTACTTTCTACTGTCTTTCCCCTATCTCTCACTGTGTGCAAAGTAATAACTACATTTTAAGGGTTTCTGCTCACAGCTACATCTTTACTCTCCTTGAAAAGCATAGTTTTCCCACTTTTGAGATGCAGAAGCTGAGACTCTGAAAGCCCCATTCCTAACAGAGCAGGCTTCCAACCAGGCTCTGTTGAACTGGGCTCTCCACCCAGTTCCTCTGCCCATAATTTCTCTGCTTGCTACCACTTTCCTGGACAGCTGCTGCTTGGTTCCTGACAGCTGGGAACCTTACACCACGTGCATCTCAGTGCCCAGCCCATGCAGGATGCCTAGGGTTTTCCTGTATGAGAGCACACACTTGTTAAAGGAACGGAGTCATGGCTGCAGGAATCTTGTGCCTTTCTTTAGATTAATCTCTTTTCTGCCTGTACTGTCACTTTTTTTTTCTTTTAAGAACTGGCCTCTGGGTCTTTGATTGGGGTGTAGAGTACCCTTCTCAGACCCATGTGCAGGGAGGAGTGGTTGTCTAGACCACAATGGGGTGCAGTTTACTAAGAGACACCCATTTTTCCATTTCCAGGCTGCACTCACTTCTTCATACCTCAGGGCTGTTGCATAGTGGGACCCTCTCCCAGGGTCACTGTGCTGGATAGCTTCAGTGTCAACTTGACACACCTGGGTTGAAGGACCCTAATTAGGGAATTGCCTCCATTGGACTGGCCTGTGGCCATGTCTGTGGGGCATCTTCTTGATTGTTGAGTGATGTGGGAGGGCTCAGCCCACTGTGGGTGGTGCCACTCCTGGGCAGGTGGGCCTGTGTTGCATAAGAAAGCAGGCTGAGCAGGGGCCAAGGAGCAGGCCTGTAAGCAACATTCCTCCATGGCCTGTGCTCCAGCTCCTGCCTCCAGGTTCCTGTCCTGAGTTCCTACCTTGGACTTCATGGGAGAGATGACCTGGGAGAGATGTAAGCTGAATAAACCCTTTCCTCCCCATGTTGGTATTGGTTAGAGTATTTTGGCACAGCAGTGGAGAAACAAACCAGGACAGTCACTCTGGGCTGCTGCCTTAAATTTCACTTCATTTATTCCAATATTGTCAGCTTTTTATTTATTTATTTATTTATTATTTATTTATTTACCCCCCCCTCTCGCTCTCGCTCTCGCTGTCTCGCATCAGAGGACAACTTGGGGGAGTTGGTCCTCTCCTTCACCATGTGAATCCCAAGGAATTGAACTCAGGTTGTCTTAGCAGCAAGCTCCCTTGTTTGCTGAGCCATCTTGGCAGACCTCTGCCACCAGCTTTTGCTAACCTTCCCAGGTCTCTTCTCTAACCCAAAGTGGAGATCACTATTTGTTCCAGGGTTTTCTTTAGTCCTGCTTGTTTCCTGTAGAGCCTATGACTGTAGTTACAGTCTCTCACTTTTTTCCTGGTGAGCAGTGTTTTTACCACTGGTCTTTCAGCTCCATAAAGTCAGTGGAGGACAATGAGGAGACAGGAGCTCCCATGAAGCCCACCTCTTACCTTAGCTCTTGGCAGTGTATGCTCACAAAGCAAAAAATTGCTTTCTGCTCTGGCTACTGTGACAAACAATTCTTGAAGGCAGGGAGTGGGGATCAGTCTTGCGTACGCTGTGTGGTCAGTCTCTTCTGGCTTGGTCTGCCCACAGGGTGTGCATGCTCTATCAGTCATGCTGGCCTGTTTCTCCCCGACTTCCACCCCCATCCTGCCTCCCACTGTTGTTTTCTCTGCTGAGCCACAGGGGACACAATGTACACTGTGGGGCAGGAACTGTCCGGTGCTCTCTGCAAGTATCAAGAAATAAGTATTCTATTGTGTTCATACTTAACAAGTCCTGGGTCTGAACTTTCTCCTTCCCTGGCCTGGGCTGCACTCCAGCTTGTGCACACAAGCTGAGCTTCCACGTGTGTGTGTGTGTGTGTGTGTGTGTGTGTGTGTGTGTGTGTGTGTTAGGCATAAGGTAACTCCAACACACCAGGGCATTTGGCTTTGAGTGGGGACCCCACCACTGAGAGTCTGTGATTTTTTCGACAAAGCTTTTCTGACCAGGGCCAGAGGCACTTAGCCATCTCAAGTTCAATGTCACCACACTCCCTGTGTTGAAGGGGTATGTGAAGATCAGGCTGGTAGCAGGTGGAGGGCTGAGCCTTTGTCCACTGAGCTATATGTACTTGCTCAGCTGGCATGCCCCGTGGCTTTGCAGGAAACATGTCCTGACTTGCACAAGGTGAAGTCTGAGATCAGTGTGTCCGCAGGGTCAGTTTCTCCTGAGGCCTCTTGGCTTGGCTCCCAAGTGGCATCTTCTCTCTGTGCAGTCTCCTTCTGCATGTGTCTGTGTCCTAATCTTTTCTTTTTAAAAAACTTATATTTTATGTGTATGAATGTTATGCCTGCATGTATGTAAGTGCACTTATGTTGTGCAGTGCCCTCGGAGGCCAGAAGAGGGTGTCAGATTCTCTGGAATTGGACTTATGGATGGTTGTTAGTCACCATGTGGCTGCTGGGAATTGAACCCAGGTCCTCTGCAAGAGCAATCAGTGCTCTTAACCGCTGAGCAATCTCTCCAGTCCCCCCATCTTTTCTTATAAGGCCATCACTCATATTGGGTTCATGTGGTCTTTGGATGCACCTCCAAGGAACTTGCTTAACTTACTTATCTTCGAATACAGTCATATTTGGAGGTAGCAGGGTCTAACACTTTGATGTATGAGTTTTCTAGGGTATACAACTCAGCTCATAATGAAGGTCCTTGTATTTCCATGGAAGAAACAGATGTCAGGGCCATTTGTGAGAGAAAATGGGGCAGAAGGAAGGCAGAGAGACAAGCTTCTGGAGAGAAAAGGTCCCCTGGGGACGTTACACCAGTCCCTTCCTTTCTGGGGATGGCCCAGAGCCTGAACTGCAGGAGGGGAAGGGTTATTAGTTTGCCTCCAGGATGGAATCTGGCCTCATGGGGACTGGAAAACTTGGCTCATTCTCCTGGTTGCAATCACTATAAATAATCCCCTCTTCATGTGGAGTTAACAGAAGGAGCCTGGGGCGTGGGGTCCAGCCTGCTGTCATCCCACCCATGTTGTTTCCATTTCCTCTCTTCCCAGCTCCTCTGGCTCCAGTGGGGAGCCCTTGAGGGTGGGACAAGCCGGCCTTGGATGCTGGAAGCCAGCTGCTGCATTTTGGTGCTCTCTTTCCCTGTCTAATCCTCAATGGCTGATGGAGTAGGGGCCAACCAGGGGTCCCAGCTGACTTTCTGCACACCAGAGAACTCCTGCAGGAGGCTATGTGCATTTCAAATGGGTCTCAGCCATCGGGAGGAAGTACTATCCAACTATTGAATGTGGCACACGGGCCAGGTGCCGGCCAAGTGGGTGAAGATGTGGGCCAGCTCCTTTTCCTTGGCCCTTCATGCTTGACTATTGACAACAGTGATGCCATTACTAAGGAAGCCAGGGAGCAGCCCATAGATACTCTGGAGCTGGCTCAAGAGATTTGACTTATCCCAGTTAGTGGAGAATGGCTTTTGCCATGTAAAGTGACACTTGAGGGTCCTGTGCCTAAGGCAGGATTTTTTTAGATGCCTGTTAATCTGTGTTTCCCATATCTCTGGGACTGACTTTGTTTCTCATCACTATAAAGGGAACCTCACATGAGGTGCTTAGCATCCTGTTGAAGATAAACAAAGGCTGTCATAGTGCGGTATGCTGGACAATTCCCTCCAAATATGTCCCATCCTAAGTCCCCTACACATTCTACCTTGCCTGACAGAAAGCACTTAATGGAGGTAATTAAGTTAAAGCCTTATACGATTCTGGAGTATCCTGTGGCTATTACCTGGCTTCTAAGAGATGGAAAAGAAGATGAAGGAAATTTGATCCTTAGTTCATAGCTTTTCAAGTGTTCTGTTTATTTAAAGTAAATAATGATTTGAATGTAGTTTATCTCCCTTAAAACTCAGGTTGGAATTTAATCTCTGGAATTAAAGATATTAAGAGGTGGCGTCTTTAAGAGGTGATTAGGGCTTTGTCCTCATGAATGGATTAATCCATTCCTTCAGTCAGTGGATTGTTATTATGAGGATGGGTATTTGGTAAAAACATTTGGCTAGGCCTCTCAAGCACCCGTGTTGACATGCAATGTCCTGTGTTATCTTGAGAATCTTCTAGCAAGAAGGTTAGCACCCAGTCTGAAGGAGTGTGTTATAGCAGCACAAAATGGACTGAGATGAGTGATCTATCAGCAGGATTTTTGCAGTAAAGAATATTTCTCTGTGATGCTCCTACCCTTCCCCGAGCACAACCTCTCCTTTTTGATCCACAATCTCTTTGTACTATATTCAAATCTTTCTTGATCTCTTTTTTTTTTTTCCCCTTCTTCCTTGCTTCTCTGTAGCACCGACCTGGGGATAGAGCTTTTGGTGACACTGACATCTGGGGTCCAGACTTCTTTGTGGGAACAGGAAACACTGGAAATCTCAAAGTTGTGGTTTAGAATGATTCTGAGGACACCTGTGTTTGTGGTTGGGTGGACGGCAAGTGATGCTTCCTGGATTGTGTCCTGGAGAGAGTATGAGTGGGGTTGTATGATCTGGTGAGAATGTAGCCTTGAGGGTAGAAAGGCTCTAGTATCCTGGAAAAGGCAGCCATCTTTCAGTTCTATCTGCCAGAGTTTTAATTTATTTTCTGTAACTTTAACAAGTGAGACCTGTAATGGATGAAGACTGGTTGTTCATTTGGCTCACAGTTGTGGTGGCTGGGAAGTCCAAGAGCTTATATCAACATTTACTTGGCACCTGGTCAAGCCGTCTTGTTCCATCACAAAATGATCAGAAGGAATTGTGTGGTGAGACCGAGCAAACTCAGGCCACCTTTTCTCTTACAGAGCTACTAATGCCGTCATTTGACCCCCTCTAATTCTAATTATCTCCTAAAGGCCCCGCCTCCAAATACCACCAACTTATGACTTGGGGATTAAATTTCCAGCACTCGAACTGGGAGAAACATTTACACCATAGCACAAGGGATGACTCTTCCCATGAGCCTCGGGGCAGCATGGCTGTGCCGTAACACCCACAGTGCATCGTGGGTAGGCACATGCAAAAGACACCAGTGTTTAGTTTCTCTGGAGTCATTGGGTTTGGATGCTTGTGTGGGTGTTGAGGTGGCTCAGTTGAAGGTCAGCTCAGAGGCAAAACCGTAGCTAGGGGGTGACCAGTCCCCCCAATGGTTCTAATTAAGGGAGGATTGAAGAGATGGCTCTGTAGTTGAGAGCACTGACTGCTCTTGTAGAGGATCTGGTTTGATTCCCAGCACCCACATGGCCGTTAACAACCATCTGTAACTCCAGTTCCAGGGGATCCAATGCCCTCTTCTGACCTCTGCAGGCATTCATGACACAGGTGCACTTACATACATGCAGGTAATACACTCATACACATAAAATAAAAATTATATATTTTATTTTCTAGCTTGTGCACTTCAACTCATAGTCCAAGGAAGCCATGGAGATCCTGTTATTCTGGCTCCCTGGTGCTAGTTTAGCCCACTGCATGAGCACTACTGATTATAGTTGGACTCACTAAAACAGGAAATGTGCGGGGAGGAGGAAGACAGACAGGCGCACAGGCGCAGCTTCCTGAACAATAATCAGAGGCAGCTGCTCTGCCCTGCTTCAGGGCTACTCTGACCCACAGTCCTGTCAATATTGATAAAAACAGCCACTGGAGAGACTGCTGGAGAAGATGGGGTGTGAACTTGACATTTAAAGAAATTCTCCATGTTCTGATTTGCATGTGTGAGCATCTGAATTTTAAATGCCAATGGCTAATTAGATCATTTTTGAAAAACGCGTCTGGCCAGGTGATCAGTATTTGGCATCCCATGTGAATGGGATCATCAAAGATGGCAGTGTGGGGGCTCTGGGACCCCTAAAAGAACCTGTCCTCTGGCATCATGAGACTGGGGAGTGAAGGTGGAGGGCACCGAGACAGACCATTGCCTCTCTGACCCTGCAGAGCCCCCAGATGCCAGGTGCATAAAGCATGACCCCCGCTCCTGACTGTGGCTTGGCTGCTTGAGGCCTGGCTGCAGCTTTTACTCATTCCCCTCTTTCCTCTTTACCTCTGCAGAGGTCTGTGGTGCTCTCAATGTCACTGTGTCCCCAGGGCCTGTGGTAAACTACCTGGAGGGGGAAAATGCGACTCTCCTCTGCCACGTTTCCCAAAAGAGGCGCAAGGACAGCCTGCTGGCCGTGCGCTGGTTCTTCGCCCGTGCCGGCTCCCAGGAGGCCTTGATGGTGAAGATGACCAAGCTCCGGATGATCCAATACTATGGGAATTTCAGTCGCAGTACCATCCGGCAGAGGCTGTTCCTGCTGGAGGAACGGCGAGGAGTGCTGTACCGGCTGTCTGTCCTGACGCTTCGGCCATCTGATCAAGGACAGTATGTTTGCAAGGTGCAGGAAATCAGTAAGCACAAGAACAAGTGGACAGCCTGGTCCAATGGCTCTGCAGCAACAGACATGAGAGGTAAGAGTGTTCTTGGCCTCTCTGGGGAGGTGCATTGTGGGGTAGGCCAGGGTCCCTGCTTCTGTCACCATGCAGGGGTTCCAGTTGGCTCTGCTAGGCGAGAACACATCTTATGGCCTCTGTGGGCCACTGGTCTGTGTATGGAGCCAGGGAGATGAAGACAGATCTTAGACCCGGGGGCTGATGGAAGATGTAGGCATGGAAGCAAGGAAGGGGTAACTGGCTAAGCAGCTGTCTCCAGGCCAGCTGTATCATGTGTGAAACACTGGACTTTATGGGCTTCCAGATGAAGAAGGTCCAACCCTATTTCTAGTGGTCAGAGTCAGGGCAGAATTTATTCAGGAGTTAACTGTTGTGATCTGTTAGAGGACAGCCTGAACTGAGCTCACCTTGGTCTTGTACAGGGGACCAGGTGTTTCAAAGATGGAGTGGGGGAGTTGGGAGGATGTCACTGAGTAGAACACAGTGGACTGCATCAGAAAAGGATGAGTCAGAGAAAAAGCTCTGTCTCTGTTACTTTGATTGCTGCTGTGACCAAATGCCGGACAGAAAGCACTTAAGGGAGGAAAGATTTGTTTTGGTTTATGGTTTTAGAATATTCAGAGGAGGTTACTTGGAGCATCTTAGCAGGGAGAGTGTGTGCTGGAGGGCAGCTGTTCACATCATAGCTGATACAAAGCTGAGATCATGACAGGAAGAGACTCGGGGATAGTATGCCCCCAGGTACCCACCCCCTAGTGACCACTTTCTTCAGGTAGGTTCAACCTCCCATAGTGTCTACAACTTTCCCAAATAGAACCGGCAGCTGAGGACCAAGTATTCAATATTTATAGTGTGTATATGATATATATATATATATATATCATATACACACATATATGTATATATGGGGGCACATTTCAGATTCAAAGCATAATAACACTGACAAGAGAGTGGAGTCTTTGGCCCATGTGGAAGTGTTTGACTGTGTAACAAGCTTCTAGAAGTAGGCCCCTTCCTCCCCACAGAGGGTAGAAGATGAGGTGTCTTCAGATTGAGCTGGAACAAACACAATGTTCTCTGGACACCTTGAGTTTTCTCAAGTGATCTCTGTGTGGAGAGTGGATCATTGCAGACATGTGGTCTTGAACTATTTGAAATTGTCTGTTCAACTGTGTCTAGACCAAGGTCGAATCTAGTTGAGAAAAGTTCCGAGGAGCTGGGCTAGATTTTGGTCAGGGAACAAATCTTTGTCGGTGCCCATCCCCCAGTTCAGGGCTGTGTCTTGTTCACCTTAGCTGAGGTGCCTGGCAGTGCAAAAGGGCACATGCTAGGAGACCTGATGTGAACTTCCAGGCCTACAAAGAGCAGCAGTCTTCATCTGCTGTCCAGTGGAACTGAACAAAGCTCTAGCCACAGCTTGTTGTGAAAGGCATGAGAAAGGATGAAGGCCCCAGATGACCCTCTCTTCCTGGAGGCAGATAGGAGGTGAATCCGCATTTCCTAAACATCATGATTGACAAATACCATATTGGAATGTTAGTATTTTTTTTTGCTTTATGTTCTTTTATTATATATATTTATTTTTTATTTTTTAGAAGAAGCATTTCATTACAGCTTTAACATATTCAATAAGTATGTTATGCTCATTTTCCAGAGCAAAGATA